GAACACTTGGACTTGGGAACTGGAACACTTGGGACTCAGAAACTGGAACACTTGGACTCGGAAACTGGAACACTTGGACTCGGAAACTGGAACACTTGGACTCGGAAACTGGAACACTTGGACTCGGGAACTGGAACACTTTGACTCGGGAACTGGAACACTTGGACTCGAACTGGAACACTTGGACTCGAACTGGAACACTGCAGCAGCAGGCGTGGGACCCTGAAGAAGCTGCAGCAGCAGGCGTGGGACCCTGAAGAAGCTGCAGCAGCAGGCGTGGGACCCTGAAGAGGCTGCAGCAGCAGGCGTGGGACCCTGAAGAGGCCGCAGCAGCAGGCGTGGGACCCTGAAGAGGCTGCAGCAGCAGGCGTGGGACCCTGAAGAGACTGCAGCAGCAGGCGTGGACCAGGAAGTTGATGAACTGCAGGAGCGACGCGAGGAAACCAGGATCGGCGGCAGGTACTCGACAAACGGTCAGAGCAGGTGCACATCAGGATCCAACTGGGTCCACAGGCGGAGGCTCGGGTGAAGGGAAGCAGAAATGGAGCGGGTAGACCAGCCCTACCATCTCGAAGAATGTTGGCGTGCATAGGGGGTTTTACCTCACCAAAACTCCAGGATCCGCAGCTTCTGTGGGAAAACAGGATGGGGCGAAACAGCAGGAGAGGAGAATGATTTTGACCACCCCGAGAACAGATAGGATGCGTCAAAACCCCTCAATGGGTTCAACCACCCCGAGAACAGGTAGGATGCGCCGAAAACCCCTCAAGTCGAAATCTCCCTCCGCTGAAAAGGAGACAAGCAAAAAATAATCCTCTAGGCAGATGACTAGAGCTCACCACAGGTCCAGGTTGGTCGGATCATTCTGTCACGTTGCGGGTGTGGATGACGGCGGACCAAGTGTGGAGGAGCTGACCAGGAGGCAAAAATGCAGGCTCGGATAAAGTAAAAATGGTTTTAATGGCAGAGCGGGAATGACAGAACAAAACAACGCTGACAACAAACAATAATCCGACAAGGACTGATACAAGGGAGGTATAAATACACAGGGGAAAATCAGGAACACATGGGCAGGTTAACAATGGGCAGGTGAGACAAATAAAAACTAATCAGGAGGCAGGGGAGAGTCACAGTCAGGGAGGCAGGAGCAGATTGTGACACTGACAGTTTTAGGCAGAAAATTAAAATTTTTACAAAAATGCACTAAAGTGCTAAATTATTGACTGCCATAGACATATAAATATTGGACAATGGGTTTCCATAGGCTCCAATAACACGTTTTTGAAGCCAAATGGGAGGTGGCCACCACCGCCATGTTGACCGTGTCACAGGTTCCGTCAAAGCCCAGACAATTCCACAAAAGGGAAGAGAGGTGGAGCTGAGGGTGTGGCTGGGATCAACTGACGACACCCGGTTGAACTAGCTACAAGCTAACCTGAAGCTAACCCAAAGCTAACGCGGAGGTGGGAGCTAAGCTAACGGAGGTAGCAACCTAGCTACAACCGGAGTTAACTGTGCACAACACCAGAGCTTCTGAGTCTGAGATACGCCGGGCTGACCGCTGGGTAAAACCGGGTGGAACACAGAGGTCTCCCGAGAGCTCCACAAGCCGATAGTCGGAACCCAGCTCCACCAACATGTTATATTTCAACCCATTTTCTAAAGTGCAGCATTATGTTAAATGCACTGGGCATGGTTAAACAGTACATGTTAAAATCTAAGCTCAGCTCGGCAGTGACCTAAAATACATAAATATAATTTAACTGACCGAAAAAAATGAAGTGGAGACTCCTTGGACGCTCTATTAGTGCAATTAATGCCACAGCAAGTAATTTTGTCCAACAATTGCACAAATAATATCCCAAAAAGAATACACAAACACAAAGACTCAAAATCCCGGAGCAGTTTCCAAGCCAGACCGAGGCTGTACTGAGGCCTTTCCACGGAGCTAGCTTTGTGGTCACGTGGGTCTGAGGCGGCGGTCACGTGTGCCGGATGCTCATTAATTATACAGAGTTTTAGGCTTTCAATACACTTTAACAGAAGAGTGAGAAAAAATTCACCCCCCTCAGAGTTGTCATGAGTGTAAACTAGATCATTTAAACCAAAAACATGTTTTGGTACCAGGCTGTAAACATGTTTATTTCTGCTGTAAAATTGGTATTTTTAACATGGGAGTCAATGAGGATTTGCTCGCTTCTGACACCAGCCCCTAGTGGATGAGGGTGGAACTGCAATTTATTTCATTTCGGCGTTGGCCTCAATTTTTCACCCGCATTGTGGGGGCTTGGTGACTACATATGTCTGCAGCTTGATTAGACACGCATTTATATAGTTTATCAGGAAACATAAGCTGATTTGGGGGTGACTTGCTCTTTAATCAAGTTTCCTCAATGAATATTTCTAACAAACTGATAATAAACAGGCTGATAATTTATTTTCTCCAGCTTCTTGCACTATAATATTTATTCTCTTCAACATGTTTTTATTATTTAGACGCTTCATTTTGATTTATAAAGTTTCAATTTTGCATTTTCAGTCATTTCTTTTAGGAAATGTGACATTATCGCTTTATTTGATTGTAAACAAATTACATTTTTAACTGTATGAGGTCTGACTCATCTAGCTATGAATAAATCAAATGACACACTTAAAGCCTGCAGCTCAAATCCTTCCTCTCCTTTACTGTTAAGTATGAAAAACACAGATTAGTCAGAAAAACCCATCTGGAACACATCCACATATTTAAGGCACAGTATATGATGAAATATTACCGTTGACACTATCGAGATGTCAATTATCTTAAATAGGAGTTATTTTCATCAGCCTGAATTTATACCCGGAAACAAAATGCCTGTCCTTGCTCTGACTAAGCGTGCCAACAGCGTCTTAGGCAAAGTTGTAGCTTTATGGGCCTTGGTAGTCCAGCGGTTATGGTGTCTGCCATCTGTGTTTTGTCATGTGCAGATGTAGGTGCGACTTCTGGTGTCGGCAGTCACTTATGTAGCCAGCTGAAGCAATTTCCTGTTTTTATATTTTATATTTATTGATTATTTTCTGCAAAATATTTAGTCTCTAAACATCTTTGAATTTGGTCGTTTCCAAGCAGCATTTTAGCTGATTTACTCAGCTCACCTCACAGGAACTCACACTGGCTAAATAAACAAAGAAAGCAAAACAAAAAAAAACTGTTTACATTTTAAACTGTTTACCAATAAATGGTTGAGAACATCAAACTGGCAAGTGTAGCTAAAAAATTAAGAGAAAGGTTACTGCCAGGGCGTGAACCTGCACTAAACCACATGCCAGCCCAGCACTCTAACCAGTGGACTCCCAAGTCTGTTACCTGATGACAGTCACCTAATGGCACTTACACATTAGCGTCGGCACGGCCCCAAAAGGTACCGAACGGCACGGAAATTCGGTTTCATACACAGGTCAGATTAGCGTTTTCGGGGCCGAGGCGACTCTTTTTCTCAGACCTTCTCCCCAGCGGTCAGACTGGGACCGAGGCGACACAACGGACTGATTGGCCGGCTGAAATTACGCCTATCACCTCTGATCTGCGAGAAGAATGAGCCAGCGGGGGGGTTCCCGCATGCACGATTCATTTTCATGCTGGCTGCTGTTGAGTAAACTTCTGTCTGTAGCACGGAGCTGCCGTTCCGGAGCTGCCGTTAAGTGTGGGAACGGGAGAAAAGAATAGCTTTGTGTGTGTGTGTGTGTGTGTGTGCGTGCGTGCGCCTATTCTCCGCATCGGAGCTCTTGCCCTGGCAAGCAAACAGCTGCTCAGGGGAGAAATCGGTGTGTGTGGGACAAGATTATGAGGACACACACAGCAAATCATTAAAATAATGTAGTTCCGAGTCTCCAAAAGCAACACAGCTCACGTCTGCCTTTTGTTTACCTTATGGAGCGAACTTTCTCGCACGCATTAAGCGCCGCCCACAGACTCTGGGATCTCCGCATTCCTGAGAAGTCCCTCGGATTTACACCGCCCGTTCCAGACCGACCGCGACTCGGTCTGGAACGGGCAACAGCATTAGTTGCATTTTTCAAACAGGAAGTGGGAGTTGAGTAAGAATCTGGTAGGGGGTGACTTGCTCTTTAAATTACAATTATTATCAAGATACTTGGTTAGGAGCCAAAATGACAAGTTTAGGAGTAGAACTGGACTTAAGTCCAATGTGTGATGTTCGATATCACAGTAGTAAACGTTCTCTATGTCTTACATAAGTGCAGCAGAAACAGGATTTTGCAACAACGGATGATAAACAGGTCCCATCCTGAGAGAGATAAATGCTAGACTGTGGGGCACTACTAGAAAATGTGATGTAATCAGTGAATTTTTTCAATGTATACATTAATATAATAACTAATTCAAACTATTTTTGCAGACTGCTTTGAATTCTTATTTGCAATAAAAGTCTTGCTGATGACTGATGACCAGTAGCTTAGAGCTGAATGCAGTCTCCTATCAACAAGCTACAAAGAATTAATCTAGTGGTGTGCAATTCTGGTCACCCAGGGCCACCGTCCTGCATATTTTAGAGGTTTCTCTGCTTCAACGTTAATCAGCAGGTAATTAACAGGTCTCTGCAGAGCTGAATGAGCCGCAGAAATCGGGTGTGTGGGAGCAGGAAAACAGCTAAAACATGCTGGATGTGGAGGACCAGGATTGGACCCCACTGAAGTCAGTTTTATCATTTATTTTCTGAGAAAATGACAAAAGGCTGTGGTTATTCTTTTTGCACTATGAGGACAAACGATTATTAAATGGCACCCATATGTTTAAAATATTTTTACAGGCATAAATGACCAATCTCTTAGTGTCTGATTCATTTCTCTGTAAACAAACAGGAGAAATTTCAGTTTTCTACACAAATTTTAGCCCAGTTATTTTGACATTTACATGTTTATTATGGTTATGGAGTTGGATTATTAAACTGCTGGATTTGTAAACCCTGGATTAAAGTTTTGAAACATAGAAACCAGCCTACCTGTCAGTGAGGGATGGCTGTAAACCACTCATTGGGATTCCCTTGTTTGTTTCTGCAGAATTCATCCAAATAACAGTTCCATAATTACGTCCGTCTGTCCGAACAGTTGTTTTATTTAGTCTCCATGGAGCCTGAGTGCATCGCAGAGTTCAGCGTCAAGGGTTGTTCTCAGAAAACTGAAACATCCAGGAAAAGTAACAACAACCTGATGATTAAAATCCAAAAGGTGCAGACACTTTTTGGCCCTGCTGCTTGAGGAGGGGGTTAGTTAGCAGCTTGAACAGACATCTGGGAAACTTGAAACAAACAAATGTAAGTTGTGTTCCTCTCCAACCTTCCACACTCTCGTTCAACCGTCGAGTTTAAAGGAAAACGTTTCATTTTGTCTCAGGAAATACTTCCATGACTCTCCAGTCTACTCCTGCTTCCCGGAAAAGAAGAAAACGTAAAACTTTCGTAGAAAAACAGATCCAAACTGTATTTTATTTATTTCCGCTGCGCGTCCTCCACGCTGATCCGCAGGTTTTCTGGTGGATTTTTCACTTTAAAGTTTAATAATCTGCTCAAAGTGCTCAGAAAGTCGCTCCGCTGCATGATGCAAATGGAAAAAGGAAATGCTTCGCTCCCCCTCCCCAAAACCATCCATCCCGGTGCGTTCAAGGACTCCTCGGATTTCACCAAACCATCCAAGTCCTGCCCCTAACTCCACTTATGTTTTTATACAAAATCTCTAACCATAAATCTACCCTTTAAATCCTGATACACAAACATAACAGAGTTGTTTTCAAAAGACTGATCTGTTTGTAGGCAACTTTCAACAAAACAGCATTTTATTAGATGAATATACCATTGGAATAAAAAAAACACTGTGACATCACAGGAAATGAGTCACTGAAGAGAGAAGCTTTATTGCACACCTCAAGTGTAAAAAACGGATTGACAATGAGGAGCCGTTTATTAACAACTCTTGCAACCACTTGTTTTTCCGTTAACAATCTAAAGTCAGGCAGGTCATTCTCATGCACCCCCTCCTCTATCATGGTGATGAACAAATACCACCAAATATTGACACCAACAGAACTTAAAGGATAATTAAAGAACAGGTATCCATTGAAACACAAAAATAAAACGTCAAACCATAAGATAACACTGAAGAACTCTGTAACTAACACTTATGACCTATTACCCATAAGTCTGTGCCCCCCCCCCCCCCCCCCCCCCCCGAGCAGGCTGCTTGGCTCTGCTACGCCACATAGCCCCCACCAGAGGGGTTAGTCGTCCCCGACAACCCCATCCTCTACAACAAAGTTCCTCAGATGAGCAGGTCGGCGCCGCTGTCAGGTCAGGCGTCTAGTGCTTGAGTCCCTCAGTGGACTCTGGCTGGCTCCGTCCTCCCCTCGACAGCAGCCACTGGGACGCGGGGCCGGTATGGAGCAAGCCTGTCCTGATGCAGCACCACCAGGCATCCACGCTGGGACATGTGCACCCGGTATATCACATTGGACAAGCGAGCCACCACTTCTGCCGGTCCCCACCAGTGGCTGCAAAGCTTGGAGGATACACCTTTCTGACGCTCAGGACAGTAGACTCACACCTTATCTCCAGGTGAAAAAGGCTGTCCACGACACTGGCTGTCATATGCTCTCCTTTGGAGTATGTTAGAGTTGGCTTGTGCCTGCCGGGTGAACTCGTGCACCACCCACAGCCGCTCTCTGAGTCACTGAAAGTAGTCAGTCTCCGTGCCCCCTGTAAGCTCCGGCTCTGGTGGGGCACCAAAGACCAGGTCCACTGGGGTCCTAGGCTCTCGTCCAAACATCAGAGCAGCCGGTGTGCACTGGCTGGACTCCTGCACAGCCGTGTGGTAGGCCCAGAGGACCAAAGGAAGATACCGGCCCCAGTTCCTCTGATGGCGATCAACCAGGATGGCCAGCTGAGTGGCCTAGGTCCTGTTGAACCTCTCCACCAGTCCATCGCTCTGTGGATGGAGTGGGGTCGTCCAGGTTTTCTTCACCCCAAGCAACCGGCAGACTTCCCCGAACACCTGGGCCTCGAAGGTGCGTCCCTGGTCACTGTGGAGCTCAACGGGGACCCCAAAGTGGGTGAACATCTCCTCGACCAACTTCTCAGCAATTGTATGGGCAGTTTGATCTGGTACCGCGGTACGCCTTGGGCCACTTCATGAAGTAGTCCATTGCTACAAGAACGTAGCGATTACCAGCCTTGGTGATGGGAAAAGGACCAAGGATGTCCACCCCGACACTCCATGGGAGCCCCCACCAGATACTGTTGCAGGGGAGCATGCAATCGCTGAGATGACCCTTTTGGGGAGGTGCACAGGTCACAACAGTGCACGTACAGTTCCACATCTTGTCTGTTCCCTGGCCAGTAGAATCGTCCTCTGAGGCGACACAGTGTCTTTAAGATTCCAAAGTGACCAGGTCGATGCCGGATCTCAAAGTCATAGGTCTGAAGGATCTCTAGCCATCGAGCCACCTGGCCTTCTGGTTGTTTGATATTCAAAAGCCAGGTCAGCGCGGCGTGATCAGTGCGCAGCAGGAATCAGCTACCCTGGAGGTATGGTCGGAAGTGTTGGACTGCCACCACCACTGCCAACAGCTCTCATCGAGTCACACAGTAATCTTTTCTTCCCGCTCAGGGCCCGGCTGAATTAAGCCACCACTCTTTCTCCCCCAGGTCCGGCTTGGGAAAGGACTGCTCCCACCCCCACATTGCTGGCATCTGTGCCCACTACAAAGGGAACCTGTGCTTGAGGGTAGGCTTGGATAGGGGCTGCTGTGAGGGAGGTCTTAAGTTGGTCAAAAGCAGCAGCACAGGCAATGTCCCAGTGAAAGGGCTGCCCTTTATCGGTAAGCCGGTGGAGGGGGCTGGCGATTGAAGCAAAGTCCTTGACGAAACGGTGGTAGTAAGAGGCCAACCCCGGGAAGCTGCGTAACTCCCGAACGTTAGCTGGGGTGGGCCAATCCTGCACAGCAGTCACCTTTGCTGGATCTGTCTCAACTCCTTGAGCACTGACCACATGACCTAGGAATGCAGTCTTCCTCTGCAGCAGGTGACACTTAGCAGGGTTCAGCCGTAATCCAGCTCCTTGGATGGTGTCAAAGACCTCCTGGAGATGGGTCAGGGCTTGGTCAAAGTCCACCGCGTGTACCAGCAGATCGTTAAGGTACACCACACAGCGGGATTTGGGTATGTCAGCTAGCACCCTCTCCATGAGTCGTTCAAACGTTGTGGGAGCATTGCACAGTCCGAACGGCATCACCTGGAACTGCCACAGCCCTTGTCCAAAGGTGAATGCCATCTTGGGCCTTGCATCAGGGTGCAGCTCCACCTACCAGTATGCGCTGCGTAGGTCGAGGGAGCTAAACCAGCTGGAGCCGCTGATGTAATCCAATGCACTGTTGATGTGGGGAAGTGGGCAAGAGTCCTTCTTTGTGGCTGCATTAAGGCGACGATAGTCCACACAAAACCTCCATCCACCTGACTTCTTTCGGACCAGGACAACCGGCGCCACCCAGGGGCTGTCAGATGGCTTGATGATTCTGGTGCTCAACATCTGCTGAACCATCTCTGCTGCCACCTGTCTCTTAGCCATTGCCAGCTGGTGAGGTCGCAGGCGGATAGGGGCTGCTGAGCCGGTGTCAATCGGGTGTTGCACCAGACCCGTCTGGGTACAGTCCTCATCTTTGGCAGCAAATATGTCCACATATCTGCCTAGCAGGGGCTTTACTTGGACACTTTGGACTTGATCCAGGCCCTCACAGCTTCACCACCAAACCTCTTTAATGGCTTCTGCTGTCTCCATTGATGGGGCCGCTGGCAATACACTCTCGGTTCCGGGAGATAGCTGGGGCCGATCTAGTGGTTGGGTCAAGGCGACTTGGGCACTTGCCTTTTGCACTCTGTCAGGTTCGTTGGCAGATCTGAAGCGTGACTGAGAGTTCTGTTGCCCAGACGCGGAGAGACGGAGATAGCCGGCGTGGTTATCTCCTGTAGGTGTAGTATGAGTGTTTTGAGGGCTGGTAAGCCTGGAGACTCGATACAAAGTCTGGTGAGAAACGATGACTGAGCAATGAATGAAACGCCGGCACTTCCTTAAGTAGTGCCGGCGTGATGACGTCAGTCGCCACGTTGGTGGCAGGAATGAATGGAATGCAGTCAGCTGGAGGAGTTCGTGACAGGACCCCCCCCTCTAGGGACGGCTCCCGAAGTCCCAGGACGGCGGGCCCAGAAGTCAGTCAGCAGGGTAGGGTCGACAAACGAGCTCGTGGGCTCCCAAGAGCGTTCCTCAGGCCCGTACCCCTCCCAATCCACGAGGTACTGCCAACCTCGTCCCCGGCGGCGAGCGTCCAGAATCCTGCGGACCGTGTAGGTGCGATCCGCCTCAACACCGCGGGGCGGAGGCACCCGGACCGGTGGAGGGTGGAGAGGAGAGGAGATCACCGGCTTAAGCTGGGAGACGTGAAAGACCGGGTGGATCCGGAGAGTAGCCGGGAGGCGCAGACGGCAGGTGACAGGATTGATGACCTTAAGGACGGGGAACGGACCCAGGAAGCGAGGAGTGAGCTTCCGGGAGCCAGCCGGCATCCTCAGGTTAGCGGAGGAGAGCCACACCTGGTCGCCAGACCGGAAGACGGGGCCAGGCCGATGGCGGCGGCGATGCTGACGGGCATACTCCGTGTTGGCCCGGGTGATGGCCGCACGGGCCCGGATCCAGGCGAGCCGACAGCGGCGGACCAGCGTCTGGGCAGCAGGGACCTCCACCTCGGGCACCTGATGATCAAACAGAGGTGGCTGATAACCGTAACAGGTCTCGAAGGGAGACAGACTCGTGGCTGAGGAGGTCTGGAGGTTGTGTGACAGCTCCGCCCACAGGAGAAAGCGGGGCCAGGTGGTCGGCTGGGACGAAGCGAAGCAGCGCAGGTAGCGTCCAAGCTGCTGGTTAGCTCTCTCTGTTTGACCGTTTGTCTGCGGATGGTATCCAGAGGACAGACTGGTGGAAGCACCGACCAGGCGACAGAACGCTTTCCAGAAGCGTGAGACGAACTGGGGTCCTCGGTCGGAAACCACGTCCTGAGGGAAACCATGGAGCCGCACCACCTGTTCCAGGAGCAGTTCGGCCGTCCTCTTGGCCGTGGGGAGGCCGGACAGGGCCACTAAGTGCACGGCCTTGGAGAAACGGTCCGTGATAGTCATTATAGTGTCCAGGTGGTCGACCGCCGGCAGTCCCGTGACAAAGTCCAGCCCGATGTGTGACCACGGCCGCTTGGGCACAGGGAGAGGCTGCAACTCTCCAGCGCCGGGTCGGTTGGAGGACTTGGATCGAGCACACACATCACATGCAGCTGTGAACTCGCGGACGTCCCTCCTCATGGACGGCCACCAGAGAGCCCGACGGAGGAACTGGAGGGTACGGGCTTGCCCTTGATGTCCCGCGAGCCGTGAACAGTGCCCCCACGTGAGCGCCTCTTGCCGGCAGGAGGCGGGAACGTAGAGGCGGTTCGGTGGGGTCTCCGGCGGCGCTGGATCGCCAGGAAGTGCCGCCTGTATGGACTGCTCCAACGGCCATTGGAGGGAGGCCAGGAAGCGTTGAGCCGGTAGAATGGTCCGAGG